AAAAAAAAAAAAAAAAAAAAAAAAAAAAAAAACAATAGAATAAGGAAAGCAAATTTTGAATAGAGGAAACTGAGAACAATGACAACAGATAACTGCTACCGTTCTCTTAATACCGTTGAACGTTGAAACCTTTTCCAAGAGCATACTTTAGCACTATTACACCTGTTTGCTGGATTTACCAATTTGTTCAATTAACTATCCGATTCTTTTCTTTTCTTTACATTTCTGTTTGCTTTTGTTGTAATTTATCGCTTCCCTTTTATAGGAAAAAAAACAATAACAATAATAAATTTTGTACCACTTAGAAATCCAAAAGAAAAAAAATGCCGATAAGAGAAATAAACAACAAGAAAAAAAAAATTACTTCCAGTAATTCAAAAATTAAAATACTTCAAAAGAAAAATAAGATAGACCTAAAATTTAATCACTGACCTCAGTATGATATGATAGTCAGTGTGCTATCAAACCTCCTTTTTGCTATATTCTTTAATCACCTTTTTTCATTCTATTTTTCTGTTTTTAATAACACTTTATCATCGTCATATGGTGTGCTAACTATTTTTCCGTAACACTACAGATGTGAAAAATGCTGCTTCAAAAAAAGTGTTGTTCAAAATGATTACTTCAATAGATGCTTAAGAGGAAATTATTTTTAGCATAGCTTTTGAAGTGTTCGACAACAAAGCAACAAATGCCCTCTGTGTAATCAAAATTAAAGTATCCAAAAAAAGCATAAGTCAAAAAGACACTTGAACGATGGCGTTTGGCAAACAAAGATACTGCTATTCTTTGTTGCTGTTGTCGGTTATCCCACAGCTTATCATAACGCATATAAGTAGCTACTGATATGGTCATCAAAAATACTGGTCAAGAATCTATAATTGAAGGCGATAACAGTGGATATTGCAGCACTTTTTCCTTAGCCAACCACACCAATACTTTACCCAAATTTTTTTCCCTTCTTTCTTACTTAATAACCATTTACAGTCTAATAAGTTCTTTTTTTTTTTTCTCCTCACCAGCTGAGTATCATAGACACTTATTTTTGTGTCAATTACAACGTTTCAAGATAAGAAAGCATAAAATCTTAGAAAAAAACTTTAACAAATTGTCTACAAAATGATGTTACAGTTAAGCACCGTACCCCGCAAATCCAATCAATGATATAAATTCACCGAAACAAAAAAATGTCTTTTTTTATATGCAGTTTAATATTTTCGTCTACTCTAATTGTTTCGTTATTATTGCTTTTATCCTTTCGATTACCCATCAGTTTATTTGGGGGGGAAAAAAAGAAGAAAACTGTTTTTAATAAACCTGTTTCAGGTTGCTGAATGACTGCTTTGTAGTAAGAACTTTTCAATAGTAAAATTGAGAAAAAGATAAAAAAACAAAGAAAATATTGAGTGAAAAATTTTTACCACTATTTTTTGCAAGTATTCTGAATTTTGACAAAAAAGATTGATATAGTAAAGAGAAGTAAAAGAGGGTAAAGCAAAAAACTAAATTATATATTTCCTTAGCCAAAGTAGTACAGAAAAATGAAGAATTTACTTCATTTTCTCACCCTCCAACCCCATACCAAAAAAAAAAACAATTTCTAGTTTCTGTTGAAAAATTTATTAACGCTTTTTTTCTTTCCCTTTTTACAGTTTAATACTTACATCTATCCTAATCAACCAATAGAAACTGAAGCAGAAACATAAAACTTTATGAGAAAAACAATAAAATAGAAAAAAAAAAGATAAAGCAAATAAAATTTTTTTTGTAGAGGTGCTGATTTACGAGCTTTTAATTACTGATGGCAATTAACATTTCTTTCGTTTTCTTAC